ATCCAGGCCAACATTAGGAAAAAACACCTGGAGCTGTTGGCAATGTGCTTTTTCCCTGCCCCTCCCCCAAAGACATACCCCTGATCGATTGATCAACCGATTTATCATTTGACGGATTGGCTGATTGATAATACTGTGCAAAAGCGGATATTGAAGTTTTTCTAGATTGATTGTACTCTAAAGCAACACAAGGACACAGATCTTTGATAAGCAGGTTTATTGCAGGGACTAAGAAAGCGACAGAGAAAGCATTCAAGCAGTTGCGTACAGAAAGGCATCAGCTTTCGACCTCAATTGGAACAGGAACTCTGTCACTAAGCGATGTTATGGTGAAGTGGGTCACACCCAATTTTCACAACGCTCGGGATACTGCAACCATCCTAAATACAGGCCAAGCAGCCACATTTTGACCATGGGACCATGGGACAGTGCAACAGTCACACATAGATTGTTAGTAGTTTTTTTAGTCTTGTCATCAATTCAAACAGTTGTTAAATGGTTGTAAGCTGAGAACGACCTGTGTCAAATCGAAGCCCTATTGAGCGTGAAATGAAGTTTGATCTTCTTCCAACCCGCACTATGCAATTGACTGAAAACTGTTAATTGTGTCATCATTGCACCCTTCATCGCATTATTGGATTAATTTATTTTCTGCGTTTGCTCCATAATCCGCACCAGAAATTAATCAAACAGTCTGAATTTGCACAAGATTGAGCCCCAAAAAATGATACAAATCAAACTAGGATTATAATAACAAAATTCATTCCATATGTTGAAGAACTAAGCTGCTACGGATATACTTTGCATTTTTGGGGGGTGGGGGTGTCTCTGAACTCTGTTTTGCAGACAGAGAATGACCTTATTGATTATTAATCTTATCAATAGCAATCGCCATTGAAAAGATCAATTCCTTTCTTCCCGTATTTGTGATTCAGTTTACTTTCCAGGTCCTTCAGGATAGCCCATTCTACCTTATCCTGATTATTTTCAGCAATGACTCCGAAGGACTTTTTTTTGTCGTTTTTGGTCAGGCAACAAACTGCAGCCCACATATGACTCGGCTTATTCACTCGGCCACCAGAGATGAACTCGTCACCGGGCACCACGCCCACAATGACATATGTTTCACTGCATTCTGCTGTATTTTGTCTCATAGTACTCAAAAATTCGGCCCATTTTCCATTTATGAGTTCCTGATACTGGGGCACGATATTGGTGAAGGTGTAGGTTGCAGATTTGAAATTCTCATCCGGTTGGTGGGATACTGGCGCCAACTGTCCCTTGTTGTATTGGATAGCGTTGACGTAATCGCTCCATACAGCCTGGCTTTTTGCAAGTAAAAGGGGGTCGATTCGACAGGTCCCTTCCGGTTCCATGCTTCTTCTCTCATGATCCCAAGGCTGTGCAAGCTGTGAATATGGAACGTCAAGCAATGCGCCCGATTAGCATCCACACAAGACAGAATCAAATACGCTGAATCTGGTGAAAGATCTACCCTGAATCCACCAGGGAATGGGGTGTGGGAGATGCTTCCATGGCACTTTGCGTATTTGGGGCAGTTTCTGGGAAATCTGGAAATTGAGGCCCCTGACTGACCCTGTCGGGGAGCCTGCTTGAAACTCTCCTGTAGTTCAGCTTGAAATTTGGGGTTCTGGGCACCCTGAGTTTGCTTCTTTGGGGAAAGATGGAAGTGGAACATCACCAATGTGGACAGCAGAATTCTTACAGCCAAGCTTCTAAAAGCTCCTGAGATTAATCATGTACAAATAATTTTTAAATCCACTGGCTTGCCTTATTTCCTATCCAGTGACTGTTCCTCTAAGATAGCGGTGTCAAATTCAAGGGCTTATATCTGGCCCACGGGGCCCTGGAAATACCAAAGGATTGGTCCAATCTGCAGTCCGTCCCGTTCCTCCCCCCCCCTTCAGGCCGGCTCACAGAGGACAACTACAATGCTCATCCAGCCTTTGAAGAAATCCAGTTGGAGACCCCTTCTCTTAGGTGATCTCCATTTCATGAAGGCTTAGTTTCAAAATAGGAACTCCTTTTACCTGTGGCTCAATCTTCCAATCCATCTGTGTTGCACCTGGACCAGGATAATATTTATAGGCTGAGAACAGGGGGATGTGCCCATCTTTGTCATACATTGTGGCAAATCGATAGCTGCCCATATAGTACTGGCAGATTCTGGCTGGATTCAGTGGCACCAGGTTGGAGGGGGGGTTTCCATTAAAGAAGAACTGACTGCAGTGTTGGAAACTGCTCACCACTTCCCCAGTGGCAGGCAGGAGAAAGGAGGCAGCCAGGGAGAGGATCCACAGAAGCAACATGGCCATGCGATTGGTCAGTTGGTCCTTCCAGTAGAACTTTTCTGCCAAGAGAGAGAGGGGGGAGGGGGGAAGAGGAGAAGGAGGAGAAGGAGGAGTAGGAAGAGGGGAGAAAGAGAAGGAGGAGGAGAAAGTGGAGGAGAAGGAGAACTAGAAGAAGAAGGAGAAAAAGAAGAAACATTTTGATTTAGCAATGGGAGAATCAGTTTCAAGTGGAATATACCCAACGGCTCATAAAGTCCAGCTGTTCCACATGTTCAGATGGAGGCCAGCCAGCTTGTTTACATTTCTGGATAGAAGAGAAGGAAGGGCAGGGCAGGCATTCCAAGTGGACCAGGATGATATTTATATTTATAACTACACTTACCAGTGTAGATTTCTGGGTCAATTCAGCTTTCCGTGAAGGTTTTGTTGCCTGATGTGCAATTCTACCCAGCAATTCTATCTCCTCTGTGTCTGACAAATCCACAGGCAAGACACCCAGATATTCGGGGGAATTCCCTGTCTGGGCCTCTTGGCAGCAAGAGGACTAGATGCTTAAAACTCTTTGCCCACGCTAACCATAATTGG